AATAATTTCTGCAACCTCATCGTCATCCAGATTATTTTCAGATTCTTGATATTCAAATTCCATTTCTACCTCACTTGCATCTGGAAGAATTCCCGTTTTACGCCAGCAATTTTGAATAGTTATATCGGTCACGTCACACCATGACTCTGAAATAAAATTAACTGCTTGTCTTACATTTAGCTTATTACTGTAAGTATAAAAAAATGGTTAAAATTAAAACAAAAAAAAAAAAAAGGTTAATACTAGAGTTGCTGGTGAAACTAAATTAAGCTGGTAAAAACTGGTGATTATCTAAAATCAGATTTTAGACAGTCACACAACTCTAGTTAATACACAACAAATCTGATTTACTGTGTATTAACCTATACTATAGAATATAAGATTTTGCTAACCTTTCCAGATCGATATTAGACTCAAATTGATTAAGAATATGCCTGCAATAAAGCCTTTTGTACTTAGATTTGAACGATTGAATAATACCAGCATCCATAGGCTAGAGGTGCGCAATTGTATTAGGTGGAAGGTAATGAAGTTTAATGTTTGTAAGTTTAAATGATTTGACGCCAGTATCTTTTTTTTTTGCGATATTTTATTGGATGTTCCATACGACATTGTTTGTGGTCTCCCACGTGGTCTCCTGTGTGGTCTCCTGCGTGGTCTTCTGCGTGATTCTTCATGTGATTCTTCGTGTGATTCTTCGTGTGATTCTTCGTGTGGTTGAAAATCAAATCGATCACTGTCATTATCTTCAAGATTAGAAATCTCATCATTTTCATTATTATCAAGATCTAACTGATTATTTTCAGTTTCTTGATCTTTATTGTTATCAATGTGAGGATTGGATGGTTCGGGTGCACTATGGGACTTAGCATTATCTACAATTAACAAGACTTTTTTGCCTTGAATACGAAAGCCTTTATCATGAAATTTTAACCAGTCTTTCCAAATGTCTGATCTCATCTATGCACGCTCATTATTTTTATACATAACCGGCAGCTGTGAAATCCTTATACCATTGAAAGACCGTGGTTTTTTTGATTTACCAATAACCAGGGGCCGAAGTTTGTGCGAGCCAGTTGCATTTGCAGCCAGCAGCACAGTAAGTCATAATTTATCTTATAGTAACACAGTAATACATTATTAATCTCTAGTTTTATTCAGAATGGTAAAAAAATCAAATTTTCTTATCTTTTTTTTCCAGGAACCGCTTGCTTCGCTAATGTTTGATGCGGTAGCATCCGAAAAAACAATCCAGTCTCGTCAGCATTATATATATTGTCAGGCTCATATTGAGAAAGAAGTTGTTTTAACTTAATTCTCTCATTCAACAAAGACTCCAGGGGTGCACTTGCAGCTTCTCCACTAAATCTGTATCGACTTAAAGAATTTCGTTTTTTGAAATTTGCAACCCACCCATTCGAAAACTTAAGGTCATCCTCAGAAATGCCAAGATGATTGCCAAATTCACAGCCTTTTAATTTTATCAAATCATCCATAAGGACCATACCAGCAGTGGAAATTTGATTCACCCAAATTGTTATTGCCGTTTCAAGTGTAAGGTACTTTGGTAGCTTGTTTCTATATCGGGTTTGTATTATAGCAGTTTCTTCAAGGTAAAGATATTGATCACTTTTTTTCAAAGTTTTAGAGATAGTTGACCTATCAAGGTTTAGCGAAGGGTATCTTCTCATAAACACGTCAGCGATGTCCTGGTGTCTATCCATTGGGTGTGCTTTAGAATATTCACATATTTCTTTACGTTGGGCATTACTAAGTTGGCTACGTGTTTTCTTCAATACGTGATCAGGAGGCATGGTAAAAAAAAAACGCGAAACACGAAAGTTAGCAAGAATAGTAGACTATGGTATATATGACTTTTTATATTGTTTCACAAGCAACTTACTGAGAAAAAAAAAAAAAAAAAAAAAAAAAAAAAAAAACGAAATGTATTTAAGTTTGGGCGAAAGACGCATAAGTCATAAGATTTTTTTTTCAAAAAAAAAAAAAAAAAGGAGGTCGTAAGAATAAACTTTTAGTCAAGGGGTAAGCAATAGTTTAGGATAGTTTAGGATAGTTTAGAATATTAGGATAGTCTAGGATAGTTTAAAACTACGATTGTGTAAAAAAAAAAAAAAAAGGGTCACAAAAATAAACTTTTAACCAGGAAGTAAATAATAGTTTAGGAGGATAGTTTAACCATGATTATGTTTATCTTTTAATGTGCGTACAGTTTATTAGTACAGTTCATTAGAGGCAGTTTAAAGTATCAAGATATCATTATTATGATTCGAATTGTTCTTCGCTACCCAACTAAAGGCTCTTTTTATAGTTCTTTTCCTTGGACGTACAAATACGATTATTTATGCATAACTTCTGTGAACTTCTACATATTAGTACGTACGTATGTACATGCAAATGCACGCCTTATCGTCATGCTATGTTTGTTACAAAATGGATACTTGAATTGGAACCGGTTAAGTTGGCTAAAATTCCAATGTTCTGATTTAAATATGTATGTATATACATATGTATGTACGTGATGTACCAGTTTGTATAAAATCTCTGCAAAGGCATATTTTTACAAGTATGCTCTGTGGGTTACAACAAGTTAACAAGCTTAGTCATTACTGGCCATGATATGAAATCTATTATATTGTCTAATTTCTCTTGTAATTTTGTGACTATATCAAGCATATTTCTTATATATTTAATAGAAATGGTAATATGAAATTAGGTGACTGTGATTATATCGTGTTTGTGACTATATAAAGAGTAAAGTAATATAAAATTAATTAGTAAATATAAAACTGTGATTATATCGAATTTGTGACTATATCGAGAGTGACTATATCGAGATGCGACTGTACTTCTAAGCTAAGAGACTTACAATGATAAGTTACAACATTATTATTGTAAAAGAAGGCTTTGCTTCGCTGACTACAACTATTTGCTTTTACAG